GACCACCTGCCTATCTAAAATATATCTGTTTGACCCTTGAAAACATACCTAACATGACTATGTTTGATTGTTATGAGTGACTAACTACTAACATGAATTTCTTTATTATCCTAAGTAGTTTATAATAGCTTTCAAGAACTAGAAATTTACATTACATTGCTAAATGAGCTGCATAGGTATAATGCCTTAAACAAGAGTAGAAATGTATGTACAATATGTTCTAACAAAAAATAACCTTACATTTGTATCAATATATAAAATTCCACACCAATGTAAAATATTTGAGACTAGTGTTTGTTCAAAAGTAGACTCAGCAGTCTTTTCTTTTATCCTGACTATATCCCCCATTTTTCTCTCCAAAAAGAGATCCTTGAATCTAATCTCCTCTGTTCGGCATTTTTCTGACCATGACCAATACCCAACCTCCCTAAAGGATGACAAATATTAATAACCCACTGAATGACCAAAACCACCCACCCCATCTCTTGTGAATGTGGGTGTTATGTTCTCTAGACTGCTTCCTGTTGTCCGAGGGAGCTGGCATATTTTAGAGGACCCTGAGAAAATTGGGATAATGGTTGAGTCCTGGGAGAGCTAGTTGTTGTCTAGTCTCAGTGTGATAGGAAAGTGTAGGGCTTATATCAAGTTTGGCTAGAGTAGTCTGTGAGGCTGGACCACTTAGGTCACCTAATTTCATTAGTGTCTGGTCCCCTTGCTCTGAAAACACACAAACTTCCAGAGGCGACATATATATCTATATTAACACAAGGATGGACTATACATTGTATACAAGCTGACCTAAGATTTTTGTTTTATGTTTGAGCAGGTAAAATATATGTCACCTGTCTTATAGAGTTTTGGGTTTTTCTTTAGGTTTATTTTATTTATTTTTCGTTTTTCAAGACAGGATTTCTCTGTGGCTTTGGAAGCTGTCCTGGAACTAGCTCTTGTTGACCAGCCTGGCTTCGAACTCACAGAGATCCACCTGCCTCTCTGGATTAAAGGCATGCACCACCACTGCCCAGCTGCCTGTAGACATTTTTTAAACACAAAATATAACCTGTTTAGAGTTTTTTTTTCTGTTTGAACTTGCTTTACTGTGTATCTGTTACCTTTTCAGTCTGCATGAGCAAAATCTTAAACTGCTGCGCAGTTTAGCAGCTCAAGCTCTCAGGCAGTGGCTGAGAGATACTGCTATACTACGGCCTGCATAAGAGACTGTGGAAGCAGGGCATTGGTGGAGCACACCTTTAATCCCAGCAGTCGGGAGGCAGGGGCAGGTGGATCTGTGTAGGTTCCCGGACAGCCTCCGAAACAATACAGAGATACCCTGTCTGGGAAGAGAGAGAGAGAGAGAGAGAGGGAGAGAGGGAGAGAGGGAGAGAGACAGACTGTGGGAGCTCCCCAATAATGACAAGAAGACTTATTATTAATTATGAAAGCTCGGCTGATAGCTTAGATTTGTTTCTGACTAGCTCTTATAACTTAAATAAAACCATTTCTATTCATTAATGTGCTGCCGTGTGACTCACTCTGTGGTTCCAGCTAAAGGTATGTATCCTGGAACTCAATACTAGAGCAGGCTGTCCGAAGATTCAGAGATCCACCTGCCCCCGCTGCTGACAGGATTAAAGGCATAGGTCACCAAGATTGATGGATTTTTTAAATTTATGTGTATATATTTGAGAATACACCATCTGTGTGCAGTGCCTATGGAGTCCAAAAGAGGGTCATCCAGTCCCTTAAAGGTAGCCTCATAGGCTAGTGTAGGTCAACTGATATGCTGGGAATCAAATCAGGTTCTCTAAAAATGCAGCAAGTGGTTTTGTTGTTGTTGTTTGAAACAGGGTCTCTCCGTAGCCCTAGCTGTCCAGGAATTCACTACAGACCAGGCTGGCCTTGAACTTAAAGAGATCCTCCTGCCTCCGCTTCCAGAGTGCTTCGATTAAAGGCGTGCACCACCATTTGAGGGTTACTTGTAATTTTTGATATAAGGTCTCACCACATAGTCCAGGCTGTCTTCAAACTCACTGTCCTGCTTCAGCCTCCCCAGGGCTTTGGAAATTACAAACTTGTACTTGAATTTATCTGACACTGGATTTTCTTTAGGGTTTATTTATTCATATGTATACAGTGCTCTGCCTGCATGTATCCCTGCAGGACAGAAGATGGAAGCAGATCTCATTACAGATGGTTGTGAGCCTCTTAACCTCTGAGCCATCTCTCCAGCCCCCTGGCATTGGGATTTTAATTTTTTGTTGTTGTTGTTTGTCATTTAGAGTTGTTTGTTTTTTGGTTTTTCGAGACAGGGTTTCTCTGTGGCTTTGGAGGCTGTCCTAGAACTAACTCTTATAGACCAGGCTGGCCTCGAACTCACAGAGATCCGTCTGCCTCTGCCTCCCGAGTGCTGGGATTAAAGGCATGCGCCACCAACGCCCAGCTTTTTGTTTTGTTTTAATCAGGACCTTAATGTAGCTATGATTGACCTTATAATCCTTATCCTCCTGCTTGCTGCACCTTCTTTTTTTTTTTTTTTTTTTTTTTGGTTTTTCGAGACAGGGTTTCTCTGTGGCTTTGGAGGCTGTCCTGGAACTAGCTTTTGTAGACCAGGCTGGCCTCGAACTCACAGAGATCCGCCTGCCTCTGCCTCCCCAGTGCTGGGATTAAAGGCGTGTGCTACCAATGCCTGGCTGCTTTGATTTTTAATTCTTTTTGTGTTCTTATTTCTTTTTTAATTTTTTTAAATTTATTTTTATCTTGTGCACATCGGTATTTTGCCTGCATATGTCTGTGTGAGGGTGTTGGTTCCTCGAGTTACAGACAGTTATGAGCTGCCATGTGGGTGCTGGGAATTGAACCCAGGTCTTTTGGAAGAGCAGTCAGTGCTTTTAATCACTGAGCCATCTCTCCAGACATGTGTTCTTATTTCTTTAAAAAATTATTTAAAATTTTATCTGTGTTAGTACAGTAATTGTTGCCATTTCTTGTAGGTTTCTTTTCTGCCAGTCATTATGTGAGCTATTTTTAATATATTATTTTATTTAACTTCCCAACTGTGAACCACAGGTACCATTCTCCCTGTTTTGCAGGTGTAATTATTCCAAGCCACAGTCCCGTCACAGCCAAGAGTGGAACCCAGTTAGATCTCAACAACCCTGTACTATTTACCTCCATAAAATGTATAATTACTGTTGTTGCTGTTATTAAATAACTAACGTGAGTGTAGCTCAATCGCAAAACATTTGCCAGGGTCCTGGATACAAGAGATTATCTGGGCCAGTGGCTCAGGCAGACCTATTGCTGAACCAGTTTGATGCAGCCTAGGCTACACAGCCAGTTCCAGGCTGCACAGCCGGGGCCACATAGTAGCGAGACCCCAGCAAACAAACACAATAAAATAAAGAAATGTCGCCCTCTACTACTCACTCCTTAAGGTATTAGTCGGGACCACATGATTCTTCTTGCCTGTATTCTGGTCCGGTCCCCAATGGTGGGGCTCCATAAACGCTGGTGACCGAGCAGGGTGGAAGATGTGGCATCATAGCTGGGCCTGCAGCTCGGGAGACTGGAGTCTCCAGTCCAGCCTCCTCGGGTCTCCCGAGAGCCGAGTATCCGCCCGTCCCTTGTAGAGCCCCTCGGCAGGTTCCTGGCACCGCCAGTTCTGAGTCGCGTGTCACAAGCACCGGAGGTCGTTGCTGGGGTGGGGTGGGGTGGGGTGGGGTGGGGGAGTGGTGACGGGAGGGAGAGCAAGATGGGGTCTTGCCCTGTGAGGCGAGCTGAGGTGAGAATCCTGGGAGAGTGGGAGGAGATGGGCAGAGGCCACAGAGCCTGAAGGGGGACGGGACTGAAAAAGGCCAGGCGCATTGAGTGTGTGTGTGTGAGTGTGTGTGAGTGTGTGTGTGTGCATGTGAGAGAGACTGAGAGTGTGTGTGAGTGTGTGTGTCTGTGTGTGTGAGTGTATGTGTGTGAGAGAGTGTGTATGTGTGTGAGTGTATGTGTGTGAGAGAGTGTGTATGTATGTGCATGTGAGAGAGACTGAGAGTGTGTGTGTGAGAGAGACTGAGAGTGTGTGTGTGAGTGTATGTGTGTGTAAGAGAGTGTGTGCATGTGAGAGAGACTGAGAGTGTATGTATGTGACTGTGAGTGTGTATGTGAGTGCATATGTATGTGAGAGTGCATGCGTGTGTGTGTGTGAGACTGAGAGTGTGTCTGTGTGTGTGAGTGTATGTGTGTGTAAGAGTGTGTATGTGTGTGCATGTGAGAGAGACTGAGAGTGTGTGTGTGAGAGAGACAGTGTGTGTGTGAGAGTGTGTGTGTCTGTGTGTGTGTGAGTGTATGTGTGTGTAAGAGAGTGTGTGTATGTGAGAGAGACTGAGAGTGTGTGTGCGTGTGTGTGCGTGTGTGAGAGAGAGACTGAGAGTGTATGTATGTGACTGTGAGTGTGTGAGTGCATATGTATGTGAGAGTGCATGCGTGTGTGTGTGTGAGACTGAGAGTGTGTGTGTGTGACTGTATGTGAGTGCATGTGGAGTATGTGGGGGTGTGTATGTGAGTGTGTGTGAGACTGTATGTGAGTGCATTGTGTGAGTGTGAGTGTGTATGGGAGTGTATATGAGAGTGTTAGAATGTGTGTGAGAGTGAATGTGTGTGAGTGTATGAGTGTATGTGAGTGTGTATGAGTGTGAGTATGAGTGTATGTGAGTGTGTATGAGTGTGAGTGTGTATGTGAGTGTTGAGTGTGAGTGTGTATGTGAGTGTGAGTGTGTATGTGAGTGTGAGTGTGTATGTGAGCGTGTGAGTGTGTGTGAGAGTGTGTGAGTGTGTGCGTGTGTGCGTGTGTGATGATAGTGGCCACACGAATCAAGGGTGAAAGAACGTCGGAGATGAGTCGGAGAAGGGAGACAGAGAGCACTGTCGGGAGAGTTAGAGCCAGGTCCAGGGAAGGCGGGCAGCACAGGGCGGTTCTCGCAGTCCTCGTGAGAGCTCTGGTCTTCCCCCAGGGTTACCCTCTGAAAAAGAAACCCCAGAAGCTGTACTACCAGGCGCTCTTTGTGGTATACCTTCAGAAGAAAAGAAAGATGGCCAAAGACAAGGGCCTGATCAGTCCGGAAGACTTTGCTCAGCTGCAAAAATACATAGAATGTGAGTCTCGCTCCCGGCCCTTCAGCTCTGCAGGCGCCCTGCCCGGCACACTGCGCCCCCGTGTCCCAGCCACCTGGAGCCGAGCCCGCTCCGCAAACAGCCCGTGCCCGAGGCCTCAGCTCCACTCCCAGCTTGCCTCTCCCATCCTGATTGCTCAGGCCTCACAGGAGAAGGGGCATGGCGGTGAAGCTGAGATGGTCCTCCTTCCTGCAGTTCCTTTTCTCCCCTGTAGGTGTCCCAGTGGAGCTCTGGCAGAAGGCCAGGAGAAAGGAGCTAGGCTCTTACTCATATCTTACTCATCTCTTCTCACCCAGACTCCAGCAAAAAGGTCAGCGATGTCCTGAAGTTCTTTGAGGATGGTGAGATGAGCAAATATCGCCAAGGAGATGTGAGTGACGTGGGGCAGGCACCCTCTCCTTGACTTCTCTCATCTTTGTTTTTGCTTCTCCACTGGGATCCCCGACTTCCGGGATTTTTTGCAAGTCCACTTCTTGCTCCCCTCCCCTTCTAAAATATCGCATTGTTGATTGATTGTTACTGCGGCCATTGCTTTAGAACAAGACGAGAGATCCTAGTAACTCGGGAGATGGCCTAAGAAACTGCCCTACAGACTCCCCAGGATAACACTCACTCTTATCACAGGGCATTGGATATGTGGGATTCCAGCAATTCCTGAAACTCTATCTGGAAATAGACGAAGTTCCCCATCATCTTTGCCAGTCTCTGTTTTGGTCCTTTCACTCTAGACAAAACCCAGGGAATACTGAGGCCAAAGGTATGGTTAAGCAGGTCTGGCTGTGCCTATGGGAAGAAGGGATTGAAGCAGTCATTTATTGTGGGAGGTCAAGAGAGAAAGAGCTAGGCACTAGTGAAAAGGAGGCTAAGGGGAGAGCTGAGATAAACACACGAAAAGAAAAGGAAAAACCCAAAGTAGAGGGGGCCCTGACCTTGGATCTGTCGTATTTTCATTTTGTAGACAGCATGATCTGTCTCAGTGATGTCTCCTGCTACTTCTCCCTCCTGGAGGGTGGCCGGCCAGAAGACAAGCTAGAATGTGAGTTTGCCATTCTGAGCAAGAAAGAAGGGTGGAAAGGGGAAGGGGAAGGCCTGTTTCCTGGGTTCTGCTGCTAGACTGCTTACACACTATAACTGTCACGGTCACTCCAGTTCCCATGTCTCATACATCCCTATGTAGGTGGCCTTGGATGCCTATGATGCGTAGAAGTGTGTGCTGTCTCTCTTGTATTGACGAAGGCTGGCATGTTTTGCTGCTTTTCCTACTTTTTTGTTTTATTTGTATGGGAGAGGTTCTCACAATGTATAAGCCAGCCTGGTCTCAAAGGCTCTATCCTCCTGCCTCAGCTTTCTGAGTCCTGGAATGATGGATGTGCTTCCTGTCCTATTCTCAACTTCAAGCTCCTGCCCTACCTCTTTATTTCTTCTGTTTTCTGAATGCTTGGGTTTTATTTGTTTTGTTTTTTGTTATGTGTTTTTGTTTTGAGACAGGGTCTCACTATGTATCCCTGGCTTGCCTGGAGCTCACTATGTAGACCAGGGTGGCTATGAATTCATAGAGATCTATCTACCTGCCTCTACCTTCCAAGTGCTGGGATTACAGGCCCTTCCATGCCTGGCCTTGGAATGAACTCTCTAGATCTGTCTCATAAACTGACTTGGTTCCTCCAAAAATTTGCAGTCACCTTCAAGCTGTACGACAGGGACGGAAACGGGATCCTGGACAGCTCGGTGAGTTGTGGGACCCATGTGCTGGCCAAGGGAATGTGCTGTTACACCTGGACTTGCCAGGGTCTCCAGAAGCAGAGAAAAGGTTGGGAGTGTAGCTCAGTGGCATAGTGCTTGCCGAGCATACACAAGACCTTAGATTCATCTCCAACACTACCCTCTCCCCAGAAACAAACAAAGCAAAACAAAAAACAAACAAAAAAGAAGAGACAGCGGTGTCTAGAAGATACTTAGTCTGCTAGGACTGAATATGGAAGTAGTTCCTATTGTAATTTAAGAAAAGTGATGCTATAGAGAAAGATGCCATGCAACAGAGTTCAAGCAGAGGGCTTTTTTTTTATTAGGGAAAGGGATCATAAAAAGGGGAAAGGGAAGGGAGGAGACCAGCCTCCAGAAACAGGAGCAGCAAGAGAGAAGAGAACAGAAAGAGGAGGAGGGAAGGAGAGAGAGAGAAAGAAAGAGAGAGGAGGATGGTAGGTGGGTAGGGTTCCTCTGAGGGGGAACATAGTGAATGTGCACAGGTGGTGCTCTTAGTGGCTGCAGCTGAGGGTGTATCCTGTCAGAACCCCAAGGGCAGGCCAGTACAGATGCCTGAATGCTAACAGTTCCCAAAAGCTTGAACTCTAAAAGAGAAGGCTGGAGATGTGAAGCATTCAAAAGCTTATTTACTTGTCAGAGGTATCTGAGAACAAGGGGTGGATTTGGAAGTGGCATCCAGGAGCCCTGATCTCTAGAGATTTGAGTAGTGGCAATAGGAAGTAGCTACCTGTAGCTTTTACCCTCTTTGCCCCAGGAAGTAGAGAAAATCATCCTTCAGATGATCCGAGTGGCTGAGTATTTAGACTGGGATGTGTCTGAGCTGAGACCGGTAAGGCAGTTTGTTCCTTTCCTTATCATACCCTCTTCCCCGTGGTCCTGCATCGGCCTTGCCCCATCTCTGATGGGCACCTGATTCCCTCTGCTAGAAAGACTGTGCTGGGTGTACTAAGAGATGGTGGAGAGGTGTCTGGGGATCACACTCAGCAAAGGCTTCTCTGCCTTTCCGTTCAGATTCTTCAGGAGATGATGAAAGAGATCGACTATGATGGCAGTGGCTCTGTCTCTCTAGCTGAGTGGGTCAGGGCCGGGGCTACCACTGTGCCATTGCTTGTGCTTCTGGGGATGGATATGGTGAGTGCAAAGGCTTGTAAGGAGGGGTCAAAAGCTGTCTTGGGTTATACTTACCAGAGAACCAGAGATTAGCCTTCTAAGAAGTTGGCATCCTCTTGTGACCTCCTAGACTCTGAAAGATGATGGGAAACATATGTGGAGACCCAAGAGATTTCCCAGACCAGTCTACTGCAACCTGTGCGAGTTGAACATCGGCCTTGGCAAACAGGGCCTGAGCTGTAACAGTGAGTGTTGAGAACTGGGAGTTGGGGAAAGGGAAGTCCAATAGTTAGTGGAGACCTGATGGTATGAACCCAGAGAAACAAGATTTGAATTTTAGGCTCTGACATTTGTCCTGTAGTCCTGCGAAAGCAACCTAACTCTTCTTACTTGTGTGCTGTGCTCTGATTCAAACCCAAGTCCCTCTCTCTCTCTCTCTCTCTCTCTCTCTCTCTCCCTCTCTCTCTCTCTGCCTGCCTCCCTCCCTCCCTCTCTCTCTCTCTCTCTGCCTCCCTCCCTCCCTCCCTGCCTGCCTCCCTCCCTCCCTCTCTCTCTCTCTCTCTCTCTCTCTCTGGTTTTTTTGAGACAGGGTTTCTCTGTATTGTTTTGGATGCTGTCCTGGAACTAGTTCTTGTAGACCAGGCTGGCCTCGAACTTGGAGAAATCTGCCTGCCTCTGCTTCCCAAGAGCTGGGACTAAAGGTATGCACCACCACCGCCCAGCTTCTTTCTCTCTCTTTCTTTTTTTTTTTTTTTTTTTGGTTTTTCGAGACAGGGTTTCTCTGTATTGTTTTGGAAGCTGTCCTGGAACTAGCTCTGTAGAACTCACAGAGATCCACCTGTCTCTGCATCCCGAGTGCTGGGATTAAAGGCGTGCACCACCAACACCCGGCTCGTGTATTTTCTTTAAGCTTTAGTTTTTTTGAAAAAGGAGTTAATTGTGAACAGGAAATGCGTTGCTACAGCTAGCCATGCTAACATATGCCTGCAATAATGGCATTCCTCAGCTGTAGGAAGGCGGATCAGGAGTTCAGGGCCAGCCTGTCACAGAGGAAGCCGAAGGGCAGCCTGGACTACATAAGACCCTGCCTCAAAACAAACAAGTAGGGGCTGGGGAGATAATTCAGTTTGTTGCCAAAACTGATGCCCTGAGTTCACTTCCTAGAACTTACATTGGAAGGCGAGAACTGACATTGAAAGGCGAGAACTAACTAGCAAGTTGTCCTCTGATCTCTGCATGTACATCACGGCACATGCATACCCAAACACATAAATAAATCAGTTAATTAAAGGGAGACATTATTGTTTTGCAGTATATCAAAGATTCAATTATCTTATTGAGACAAGGTTTCACTATGTAGCTTTGGCTGGACGGGATGCTGTCTGTCAGTTCCAGCCTAGCTTGGGGACAGTGTAGTGACAGATGGGAGGCGGCGTTTGCATTTTTAGGAGAGAGATGAGGCTTGCCCTTGCAAACTTTAATTCTCTACCACAACCTGGCAGCAAGGGTTGCGCGTTTTGTTCCGGTGGGTAATCCTCACTCCTAAGAAAGGAGAAGAGGGGACAAAGGCCACAGTTAAGGCTCTGACCTTCTCCCCTCTCCCCAGTCTGTAAGTACACTGTTCATGACCACTGTGCCATGAAGGCCCAGCCTTGTGAAGTCAGCACCTATGCCAAGTCTCGGAAAGACATTGGTGTGAGTGACCCTGTGCCCGATTCATGCCCGCACTGCCAACCCCGTCCTGGCCCCTACCCTCCCCTCCCCTCCCACAATAGACCCTCCCAGACAAGGGCCTGCTTTCTCCCCCAAGGTCCAGTTACATGTGTGGGTTCGAGGAGGCTGTGATTCTGGGCGTTGTGACCGCTGCCAGAAAAAGATCCGAATCTACCACAGCCTAACAGGACTGCATTGTGTGTGGTGCCACCTGGAGGTCAGTGTAGGAACTGTCCCTCCAGCCTGAGACCCAGAGCACACCCCTCCTCTGTTACTGCCATATTTACTCTTGCCCCCCAGGGCTCTCTTTCCTGTCTAGACTCGAGAGAACTGATAACGTCCCCTGCATGATGTGTTCCCCTCTTGTGCTCCTAGATCCATGATGGCTGTCTGCAGGCTGTGGGTCCAGAGTGTGACTGTGGGCTGCTCCGAGATCATATCCTGCCTCCGTCTTCCATCTTCCCCAGGGTCCTGGTAAGACTGTCAAAGGCAGCTGGGAAGGGACCGCAGCATATCCCTGCTTCCCCATGAACACATCTCTACATAGGGAATGCCTTTGATTTGCTGCGTGGTTTTGTTAGTGCTTCTCGCTATGTAACCCTGGTTAGCCTGGAACTTGCTGTGTAGACCAAGCTAGCCTATCTCTGCCTCCCAAGGGATGGGGTTATAGGGTAGGTGTGAGCCACCACACCCAGCCAGAGTGATGTTGAGGGTTCAAGTGAGACCATTTGAATCCCGGATAACCCCACCTTTTCTTTGTTGTTCCCTCCCAGGCGTCTGGACAAGATCTCAAACTGAAGACCACAGATTATTCAAACCTGAGCACCATTGACGCTCTTATGGTACGGGGCTGAGGGGCCTGAAGGTCATGCCCAGCTTTGTTGGGAGGGACTGAAGTAGAAAGAGGAGGCCTGCTCTCTAAAAGGTCCCCCTTGGTAGAGGAAACAGGAAGAGGGGAGGCATCTTGGGAGACGCCAGTCCCATGTCTATGAAGGGTGCACCTGTATCTTTGACAAAATGCTGCCTTCTTTTTTTTTTTTTTTTTTTTTGGCTTTTCAAGACAAGACAGAGTTTCTCTGTGGCTTTGGAGGCTAGCTCTTATAGACCAGGCTGGTCTCAAACTCACAGCAAGCCACCTGCCTCTGCCTCCCAAGTGCTGGGATTAAAGGTGTGCGCCACCAACGCCCGGCCTTAAAATCCTGCTTTCTTTATCCTTATTTTTCCCCGTTGCAGATTGACCCTGTTCCTAACACCCACCCACTTCTAGTCTTCGTCAACCCTAAGAGCGGAGGGAAGCAGGGGCAGAGGTGAGCAGATGTACCCCGGTTCCTCCTGAAAGGACAGGGAGTGTGCGTGGGGCGTCCTGTGGGAGGACGCTGAGGGGGAGTTCGTGGAAATGAGGCTCAGAGTATCAGTCCTGTCACCCATGCCATGCTGTCTTCCTTTTCCTTTCACACAGGGTGCTTTGGAAGTTCCAGTATATGCTAAACCCTCGACAGGTGTTCAACCTGAAGGATGGTCCGGAGCAAGGGTGGGTATGGGTGAGGGGCTGTGCCACAGGGTTTGTGTGGAGGGGGTGTGGGAAGAGGGGGGAGGGAGGGAGGGAGGGAGGGAGAGAGAGAGGGAGAGACAGAGAGAGAGAGTGTGTCTGTTAGCAAAGTCACTATGCATCTCATTACTTTGGATTTTCTGATTCTCTTGGTTCTGCTCTCAAAGGATGCAGTCAGTAGTTTTCTCCAACCATTGAGGGATGCTAGAACTTTCCCCATTGTCCTTTCTCCACCCTTACTAAAATCTCAGATCTTTTTTTTTTTTCTTCATTTTTCCCAGTGGTAGGTTTCCAGGAGCCTACTGTCACTCTGGCTTTTTTTCTAACACGGATTCTAGGGAACAGAACTCAGGTCTTTGTGCCTGCTGAGAAGGCATTTACTAACTGAGCCATCTGCCCAGCTCTTTACACTTTTATTTAATTTATTATTATTATTAGTGTGTGTTACATGCCACACTTTTGAGAATCAAGTTGTGAAAATTGAAGTCAAGTTGTTGAGCTTGCTCAGCGAGCCCTTTTTTCTTTTTTCTTTTCTTTTTTTCTTTTTCTTTTTTAAGACAGGGTTTCTCTATGGCTCTGGAGGCTGTCCTGGAACTTGCTCTGGAGACCAGGCTGGCCTCGAACTCACAGAGATCTGCCTGCTTCTGCCTCCAGAGTACTGGGATTAAAAGCATGTGCAAAAAAAAAAAAAGTGGTGTATGTGGGAAGGATGTGGAAGGTGTGTGTGTGTGTGTGTGTGTGTGTGTATGTGTATGTATGTGTGTGTATGTGTATGTGTGTGTGTATGTGTGTGTGTGTGAGTGTGTGTATATGTGTGTGTATGTGTGTATGTGTATGTGTGTGTATGTGTGTGAGTGTGTATATGTGTGTGTGAGTGTGTATGTGTGTGTATGAGTGTGTATGTGTATGTGTGTGAGTATGTGTGTGTATGTGTATGTGTATGTGTATGTGTGTATGTGTGTGTGTGTGGTGTGTGTGTGTGTGTGTGTGTGTGTGTGTGTGTGTACGGGAGACTGGGTGCATTTGAGTGAATCAAGGCCAAGGAACAGTTTCAGGTGTCACCTTTAGGACTGTGCTCCTCCTTTTGGGATGAGTCTGTTAGTAGCTAGGAGCACACCTATTAGGCTGGACTGGCTGACCAGTAAGGTCCTGCGGCTCAGCTCCCTGGCAGCGCTGTAACACATCACCATGCTTGGCATTTTTATGTTCATTCTGGGGATCAAATTCAGGTCCTGGAGCTTGCAAAGCCAATGCTTGACCAGCTGAGCCACCCTCTCAGCCCTGAGCTGACAAGGGGACACTGTATCAGGCATTCTCTTGGACCACCAACCAGTTCCCAAATCATGACACGGAGACTTGTTAGGGGTCATGAATGCTCAGCCATATCTTGTGCTGGTTGTGCTGGTCCCACCAGCTCTTTTTTTTTTTTTTTTTTTTTTTTTGGTTTTTCGAGACAGGGTTTCTCTGTATTGTTTTGGAGGCTGTCCTTCTGGAACTCACTTTGTAGACCAGGCTGTCCTCGAACTCACAGAGATCTGCCTGCCTCTGCCTCCCGAGTGCTGGGATTAAAGGCATGCGCCACCAACGCCCAGCTCCCACCAGCTCTTATAACTCAGTTTAACCTGTTTCTCTTCATCTACATTTGCCTTGGGGCCTTTTATTTTCCTTCATTCTCTATGTCCTACATTCACTGCTTGCTCTGTGGCTGGGGCTGGCCCAGGCATCTCCCTCCCTCCCTCTCTCCCTCCCTCATTCTCTCTTCTTCTACTTTTTCTACCTGCCTGCCAGCCCCACCTATCTCTCTACTGCCTACCTTTTGGCTGTTGGGCTTTCTATTAGACCAATCGGGTGCCTTAGGTAGGCAAGGAGAAGCAGCAACACATCTTTACATACTTAATCAAATGCAACATAAACAAAAGCAACACAGCCGGGTGGTGGTGGTGCATGCCTTTAATCCCAGCACTCGGGAGGCAGAGGCAGGCAGATCTCTGTGAGTTCGAGGACAGCCTGGTCTACAAAGTGAGTTCCAGAAGGACAGCCTCCAAAACAATACAGAGAAACCCTGTCTCGTAAAAACCAAAAAAAAAAGAAAAAAAAAAAACCAAAAGCAACACACCTTTACATACTTAAAGTAATATTCCACAACAGGAAACAGGGTTATAGGAATGAGATAAAAAGTGACTTATCCTGCCCAGGACCTAGATAGATTCCTGTTATCCTTCTTCATTTCCTCTCTTCCGTTTTATCTCAGGCTCAGGTTTTTCAGAGACGTTCCTCAGTTCCGGGTATTGGTGTGTGGTGGAGACGGCACAGTAGGCTGGATTCTAGAAACCATTGGTCAGTGCAGGGAGAGGTTCCCTCTGGGCAGGGGATGGAGGAAGTAGTTCCAGGACAAGCTCCCTCCATCGTCCTCTTCACCTGCCTCCTCAGACAAAGCCAACTTGCCTGTTGTGCCTCCTGTTGCTGTGTTACCCCTGGGCACTGGAAACGATCTGGCTCGTTGCCTGAGATGGGGAAGAGGTAAGTGGGAAAGAGAGGTTTTGCTGGAGCATGGGGGAGCTTTAAGAGAAAGACAGCAGGGCTGGGGAGAAGGCTCAGAGGTTAAGGGCACTGACTGTTCTTCCAAAGGACCTGGGCACAATTCCCAACACCCACATGGTGGCTCACAACCTTCTATGACCCACCATCCTCTGTGGGTACTGCGTGTACGTGGTATACAGTCTTACAGGCAGGCAAAAATCTGGCATAAAGGGGGTTGGGGAAGAAGAGAGGCATGCATAGATGGGAACCAAAGTCGAGTGGCCACCAACAAGGATGGCATTGTGAGCCAAGGAGAATTGAGGGTGACAGTCCCCTTCCCTAGTAACCCCAAGATCCACGTCTGTCTCATACAAACAACTCTAGGGCTCAGACGGACGATAAAGGAACAATGTAGGGATGAGGAAAAGTTGTGTAATAGCTGAATGAGCTTTCAAGGTTCATTCATTCATTCATCAAACAGCCATTTATTCACTTGTTTCTTTTTCTAATTGTCAAGAATGTCACATAATGCACATGTGCTTGTGGCATGGTGTGACTGCAGGTGTCAGAAAGACAACAACTTCCTCCTCCTCCTCCTCTATCTCCCTCTCTCCAAGGTCTCTCTGTGCAGCACCCTGGCTTCCCTGAAACACCCTCTGTGGACCAGGCTGGCCTTGGCCTTGAACTCCGCAGAGGACAATTTTCAAGTTTTAGGAGTCAGTTCTCTTGTACACATGGGTTCCTTGGTTTGATGGTCAGGCTAGGCAACAAATGCCTTCATGCACTGAGGCGGCTCCCTGATCCCTCACGGATCTCTCAGTGATCTGTTTCTGAGGCTTTCCACACAGTCTCCTAATACACTCCATTTCCCTGTTTTGTTTCTCCTTTGTTTGTTTGTTTTGGTTTTCAAAACAGGGTTTCTCTGTATAACCCTCTCTGTCCTGGAACTCGCTCTATAGACCAGGCTGACCTTGCACTCACAGAGATCCAACTGCCTCTGCCTCCGAGTGCTGGGATTAAGGGGCATGGGGGCCACCAGTTTCTTTGTTGTATTTTTTTTAATTGTTACTCTATATATTTTACATGCATGTATTGCCTGTGAGCGTATGCTCATGGAGGTCAGACATTTTCCAATTGTATCCTCCAGTTCACCTCAGCCTGTCTGGCTTCCTGCTAGTTGCTTGTCCACTTTTCCTTTGAAGCTATTGAAACATTTGAATGTGTGAACCTTGAACCACAGTCATCTCTCAAAGAAATTAAGAGGAAAAAAAAAAAAGAAAGCTTTCTGGCCGGGCGCTGGTGGCGCACGCCTTTAATCCCAGCACTCGGGAGGCAGAGGCAGGTGGATCTCTGTGAGTTCGAGGCCAGGCTGGTCTACAAGAGCTAGTTCCAGGACAGCCTCCAAAGCCACAGAGAAACCCTGTCTCGAAAAACCAAAAAAAAAAAAAAAAAAAAAGAAAGCTTTCTGACTTTGTTTTATAATGTAAGACTTTTAAAGTTGTTTTATTGTGTTTTGTCCATTTGGTGTGTGTGTGTGTGTGTGTGTGTGTGTTTACATGGATACAGTAGCACACATGTTGAGTGCAAACTTTGGAAGTAAGTTCTCTCCCTTCACCATGTGAATTCTGGGAATCAAACTCAGATTGACAGTCTTGGACTGTGGGCTCCTTTATGTGCTGAGCCATCTGCCCAGCCCTCACCTAAGACTCTGTGTGTGTGTGTGTGTGTGTGAGAGAGAGAGAGAGAGAGAGAGACAGACAGACAGACAGACAGACAGACAGACAGACAGACCAGTTTTCATCTGACGTCTCCATTATTGCATTAGGGACTTTGAAATTACATATTTGAGTCTTTGCTGTGTTCTGTCAACGAGACTCTTAACAGGGTTCTATGTACAAGAGTATACAGAATTAATGTAAACTCAGTTTGAAGAACAGGAAGTAAAGGGAATATGGCCAGGGGAGCTCTGAGAAGTGTGGATGGGTTCCCTGAGGGAGACAGGGAAGGATAAGGTAGAAGCCAGTGCTTGCTAACTGGTGGAGCAGATAGAAAAGAGGTAGAGGTGGGTTTGGATATTTTCCTGGTTCGTGTCTGATCAGCTGGGGATGTCTGTTGTTATGATGGGCATGTAGAAGGAAGGCCATTTCCAGAAATAAAGATGAGTTTGGTGCATTTGCTATCAATGGGCCGCCAGATGAAGGGTAGTTAGAGACACAGGTCAGGTCGTCGGCATTGTGACTCACACCAATAATCCTGGAGGCTACATAGAGAGTTCCAGGTCAGCCTGGGCTAGAGTGAGGTCCTGTAACAGCAATAAAAACATTGCCGGGTATGTGTATGCATGTATGTGGGCACGAGTGTGCCCCAGCGATCATATGGAAGTCAGGAGTTCATTCACCACACCAAGTGAGTCCTGAGGACTAAACTCCGGTCATCAGGCTTGACAGCAAGCCCCTTTCTCTGCTAAACCAGCTCACTGGCCCATTGTTTGGTTTTTCTTGTTGCTGTTGCTTTGTTTGTTTTTCAAGACAGGGTTTCTCTGTGTAGCTTTGTAGACCAGGCTGGCCTCGAGTTCCCAGAGATCTGCCTGCCTCTGCCTCTGCCTCCCTAGTTAGTGCTGGGATTAAAGGCGTGTGCCACCATGCCCAGCTATTGTTTGGGTTTTTAAGACAGGACCTCACTATGTAACCCACGCTGTGTGACTCACTGTGTAGCAGACAGTCCTTAAACCTGAGCAGTTAGTTAGGTCTGAGTGCTAGGATCACAGGCTTATCCTGCCACATTTGGACCTTGCCTCCAAGCACGTATAATCATGATGGTGTTAGGACCATCCAGATAACCCAGGATAATCACCCATTCAAGATTCCTACTGTAACCACATCTGCAAAATCTCTTACCCTGAAAGGGAGTTTCTTTGATATTGGTATTTCTTCTTCTGTGTTACTTTTGTGTTAAGGGCTTCAGTGCACTGATCTATAAGTTTGTTTTGGCTGTGATTTTTTTTGTTTTGTTTTGTTTTTGGATTAAACCCCGGGCCCCACACAACGCTAGGCAAGTGCTACCACTGAGCTATGTCCCCAAACTTTTTTTTCTTTAAATATTTATTTTACGTGCATTGGTGTTTTGCCTGCGTGTGTCTGTGTGAGGGTGTCAAATCTTCTGAAGCTGGAGTTACAGACAATTGTGAGCTGCCATGTGGGTGCTGGGAACTGAATTCGAGTCCTGGAAGAGCAGCCAGTGTTCTCAACGGCTGAGCCATTATCTCTCCAGCCCTTCCCCCAGCTTCTTTAATGCTGGAAAATGTAATCTGTTACAGGTGATCTTTTCTTCTCCCAGTTTGTGAATTGTTGTTGTTTGCAGTTCTTTGTTTTACAATATTTTACAATGCTGGGAATGGAACACAGGTTCTCCCATGCAGCAGACACATGTTCTACCGCAGAGTCGTGTCTTCTGTCCCTTGCTTGTCCTTCTAGGCTTGCATTTATTTAACAAAATAGAGGTGGTGGCACACAGCTTTAATCCCAGCACTTGGGAGGCAGAGACAGTGGCATCTCTGAGTTCAAGCACAGCCTGGTGTACAGAACATGTTCTTGAACAGCCAAAGCTATACAGAGAAATCCTGCCCACAAAACAAACAAACAAAAATAGCATTTTTTTTGTTGGCGTGTTTTTGTGAGGTTTGTTGTTATTATTATTGTTTGCTCAAGACAGGGTTTTCTGTACAGCCCTGGCCATCCTGGAACTCACTCTATAGACCAGACTGGCCTCAAGCTCAGAGATCCACCTGTTTCTGCCTCCAAGTACTGGGATTGGAGGTGTGCAGCCCAGGCTGGCTTTGAACTCCCATGTGGCCTAGGATGGTCTCCGATTTTCAGTAGCCCTCCTTGAGCCTCTCATGTGCTGGGACTGTAGACAGGATCCCCACAACCTTTCAGCATTCTCCTGGTTTGTCTTCCATATTAAAGATGTATTTGGAATCATGTCTATATATGGACACACGTTTGGGAATGCTTATTTCCCACAACTGGGTGGAAGAGGCGGAAAGAGGCTGACTTTACCGTAGGTTCACGGAGCTTGGGTGTCTTGCCCTTTCACTGGCAAAGAGCTGGGTGCTCCTACAGCACAGAGGCAGAGGGTCCCTGGGAATCTGTGCCGATGGGCTCAGAGTGGGCTCTCTGAGGCTCAGGCAGGGGTCAGTGCAGGCTTGTCTTTCCCGCCCCTAGGTTATGAAGGTGAGAATTTGGGAAAGATCCTCAAGGACATAGAGATAAGTAAGGTGGTGTATCTCGATCGATGGTCCCTGGAAGTGATACCCCAAGAAAATGAAGAGAAGAGCGATCCAGTCCCCTCTCAAATCATCAATAACTACTTCTCCATCGGTGTGGTCAGTGGAGGAGGGTGGGGGAGGCGGGAGAACTGTGGGCTAAGCAGGATGGGCGGGAAGGACAGGAGGGGGATGATGGGCGGGGAGAGGAAAGAAGGGAAAGAGAGCAGAGAAAGAGCCCTGAAGAGGGAGGAGTCTGGTCTCTAAAATACACGCTCGTCACCCCCAGGACGCTTCGATAGCTCACCAGTTCCACGTCATGCGAGAGAAGTATCCCGAGAAGTTCAACAGCAGGTGAGGAAGAAACCAGGGGGAAGGGCGGCTCAGCCGGTATCTACACCCAAGCCTGGAGACCTGAGTTTGGTCCTCGGAACCCTCGTGGTAGAAAGAGGGACCTGGCTCCTGCGGGTTTCCATCCGACCTCTGCATGCATGAGTGAGCGCACACACAAAGTCAGTAAGATATTAAAAGAGATAGGGAATGGACATTCCGTGTCAAGACTGGATTTGTCCTGGACGTGGTGAGCACACCTTTAATCCCAGCACTCAGGAGGCAGAGACCGGCAGATCTCTGAGTTCAAGGCCAGCCCTGGCCTACAAAATGAGTTCCTGGGCAGCCAGGCCTACATGGAAAAATTCTGTCTCAAAGGGGAAAAAAAAGAAAGACTTGATTCATGTACAATTTATCACCAAATGGTTAGAGATAGGCAGAAACACCGGCTAGGAAACCCCTAACCAAAGCTGCTACTGTCCCCCTTGGAATTGGGGAGTTGGTAGCTTTTCTTGTCGCTGTGTAACTTGCCTCTTCTCTTCTGCCTCGTGCTGGGCTTGATGCAGAATGAAAAACAAGCTGTGGTACTTGGAATTTGCGACATCTGAATCCATCTTCTCCACATGCAAAAAGCTGGAAGAGTCTTTGACAATTGAGGTGTGTATAATAATAGCAACTGGCTGGGCGGTGGTGGCGCACGCCTTTAATCCCAGCACTCGGGAGGCAGAGGCAGGCGGATCTCTGTGAGTTCGAGGCCAGGCTGGACCGACAGCCCCCAAAACAATACAGAGAAACCCTGTCTTGTAAAACCCCCCCAAAAAAGCAACTGAACCCCCATCATTTTAACTTTTTTTTTTTTTTTTTGATACAGGGTTTCACATTGTAGCCCAGGCTGGCCTGGAACTTGCAGTAATCCTCCTGCCTCAAAGTCCTAAATTCTTGCATTACAAGTTTTTTCATTTTCTTTCTTTCTTTGTTTTGTTTCTCTAGACAGGGTTTCTCTATGTAGCCTTAGCTGTTCTTGGCTGTCCTGGAATTTGCTCTGCAGACCAGGCCGTGGCTACCCCTGCCACAAGTTTCCTTTTCTCATATTCAAATTTCCTTCCACACAGGAGCCCCTGAGAATGTCACACATGGGTGGACCTATACTTTTTTGATCACCCAGCTCTCCAACCCCGACTTGTCAAGTCCTTATGATATTCTAGTTCCTGGGGTGGTGGGATGGTTCAGCAGGTAAAGGGTTTGCTGCCAAGCCTGATGACCAGAGTTCAATCCCCATAATTCACATGGCATGAGGAGAGAACCAACTCCTGTAAATTGTCCTCTTTACTACATGAGTGCACATATATGTCCTCCCCCGCATCCCCTCACATACAAACAAATAATAAATACATTTTTATACAAGGTCTCTACTATGTATATATGACTGTCCTGGAGCTCAGACCAGGTTAGCCTCAAACTCACAGAGATCCGTCTGCCTCTGCCTCCCAAGTGCTGGGATTAAAGGCATGTGCCACCATGCTGAGCTAATAAATACATTTCCTAGGTGGCACAAGTCTTTAATCCCTGCACTTAGGAGGCAAGGTAAGTGGGTCTCTGATTCTCAGACCAGCCTGGTTTACAGAGTCAATTCCAGAACAGGCAGTGCTACAGAGAAAAAGAAAACTACTATCTTGAAAAATAACGTGTGTGTGTGTGTGTGTGTGTGTGTGTGTGTGTGTGTGTGTGTGTGTGGTGTGTATGTATGTATGTATGTATATATGATCTTTTTTTCCTTTTCTTTTCTTGCATACCTCTTAGTCCTAGCAGGAGCAGCCATATTTCATGACAGTGCTATGAGGTGAGGATCTACGCCCTCTCTAGTTGTAATTCTGCCCCTCTCCCCTCAGATCTGTGGGAAGCTGCTGGATCTCAGTGCCCTGTCCCTTGAAGGCATTGCAGTACTGAATATCCCGAGCATGCACGGTGGCTCCAATCTCTGGGGCGATACCCGGAAACCTCACGGAGACACCAGTTCTATCAACCAGGCACTAGGCAGTACGGCCAAAATAATCACAGACCCCGATATCCTGAAAACCTGTGTGCCAGGTGAGACAGGTAGCCCCTCGGAGCTGCAGCTGTCAGACCTGAGGGGTGGTGGGGCTTTCTTTAGGAGACTGCGTCTTTGTGCTTCTAACCCCCAGACATGAGTGACAAGCGGCTGGAAGTGGTAGGAATAGAGGGTGCGATTGAGATGGGCCAGATCTATACCAAGCTCAAGAATGCTGGACACCGGCTGGCCAGGTGCTCCGAGATCACATTCAGGTGAGGAGGACCCCGGCCTGGGCTCCCGAGGAGAAGAAGGTGGCGGCTGGTGCGTGGGAATGGTGGGAACCACTCTCTTAGGTCTTTCTCTGTGACGGAAAGTCTCAAAGCCAACTTGAGAAAGACAGAGCTTTAACGTGGTGGATAAGAAAATGTCAACCCATCTCTCTGACCTCCCACAGGACCACGAAAACCCTCCCCATGCAAATTGATGGGGAGCCTTGGATGCAGGCACCCTGTACAGTGAGTATCTCCTAGGCCTACAGAGGCTGGCCTCTTGGGCTCTGTGGAACCTAAGTCTCCGTTCTGCAGCGTTTCCTCTTCCTCCTGGAACCCTAGGTTCCCCTGTGCACCTTTCTTCCCAAGCTCCTGGTTTCCCAGCGTATCCCAACAACTCACCCCAGAACGCTAATGTTCCGGCCCTAAGGCACCGGGACAGGCTTCCAAATATGTTCCCTTTCCTTTCAGATCAAGATCACCCATAAGAACCAGATGCCTATGCTTATGGGCCCGGCCCCCACTACCTACAACTTCTTTGGCTTTTGGAGCTGAGGGTACCCTCTGTCCCGAGCCCACTTCCCTGTTCCTGGAGATGTCCCTCTGCTTTGTACATTGCTGCCACACCCTCCAGTCAGCTCAGAAGGATGCCTTGTCACCCTCACAGTATTTATTAACCTGTGCTGCCTCACTGTTCACACACACACACACACAACATTGAAAGTGCCTCACCTAATAAAGTACCTTTTTCCATTCCCGGGACATCTGTAAGTGAATAACACATGTCTTTTTTGTACCTTCACCCCTCTAGAGACAGATTGAAGAGCAAACAAAACAGAACAAAAACCCTGCAAGGTTCTGAGAATTTATTTCAGGTATTGGTAGCCTCGAAGGGAAGACCGAGGGATGCAGGCATTGCTGTCAGCCCCAGGAAACTCGTGAGGGTACTCAGACCTGCCCGCTTAGGAGGGGGCTGTTTTCACCAGTGTGGCACGTGCGGAAGACTGGGGGAAGGCGCAGCCAGTGGGTGCTGCCGCGCTGTGTTTGGGAAACAGGACGGACTGAGCCCTGTTTCCTAAGCCTGCGCCTGGTATGGAGAGAAGAAGGGAAAGTGGTCAGCAATGGCAGCCTGCCCGTGCAGGTCCCACATCCAGGTAACTCGGCTCTCTCTCTTCTTCCTCACCCCACCTAGTGTTTATCCTCTCTCATCTCCCTAGCTACCGCCATCCATTCCCCTTACCACTAGAGGTTTCTCCACCTTGAGGTCCTTAGCACCTCTAGCTAGCTGGGGAATCTGCTATCTGACCCCTCCCCCCTTTTGAGACAGCATCTTACTATGTAGTCCTGGCTGTGCTGGAACTCGCTCTGTAGACCAGGCTGGCCTCAAACTCACAGAGATCCGCCTGCCTCCCGAGTGCTGGGATTAAAGGTGTGCTCCACCACCGCCTGCTGGATCTACCTTTCTCATAGAATAGCTTGCTTCACTCCAACTTCCCAATTCTTTAATTTTACACTTTTATTTACTTAGGGGGGCAGCATGTGCCATGGTCCACATGTGGAGGCCAGAGGGAAATTTGAGGGAATTTGTTCTGTCCTGTCCTGTGTGCATCAGGGATCGATTGCAGGTGGTCAACCTTGGTGGCAAGTGCTTCCCACTGAGCCAAATTGCTGACCTCTAACCTACACTTAATATTTGCAGTGGCGCCATCAAGCGATTCACGCTTGCTTTCAAACTCCACACCCGGAGGCTTGCCCACATAGTTTCCAATACCAGTAACCCTCAGAAACGTAAAGGTTCCACAAGAAGACTGCAGCCCAGGCCTGTCTGACTTCCCCATCTGGGCTCTCCTGAACACCATGCTTCTTCTAAGGGGGGGGGGTTCTGTCACCCCTGGAGAAAGAGTGGTTGGGGGTAATAGCAGATGAGGATCAGGCTGGCAGTGTTCTTACCTATACATCAAAGATGCAAGGACCACAGCCATCACCACCAGTAAGACACCTGCAAGCAAGGGAGCCTGCCCGAGGCCACCTTGGTGACCTGTAAGCAGAATCCCAGATACTGCTTCAGCATCTGTTCCCCTCCCAGCTCTCCTCTGACCACTTCCTTTCTCCTGGTTCCTGCCTTAGTACCTACCAGGAACAACAATCTGGGTGCTGGCCACTGCCAGGCTGTTGGCATCAGCCAAAGACACATTGAGGCAATAGGTCCCTGAGCCACCTTTCAGAGCTTGGTGTAGAACCAGCTGGCAGTCTGGGCTTGGTGGCACAGGCTGGCACAGCCTCTGGGCAGGGGGCTGGCACCCCGGCGATGAAATGTCCATACAGGCTTCCTTGGGTAGCCTGAAAGAGTATTAGTTTGCATCAAGAGATCTGAGAAAGGGCAGAACAACAGAAGGAATGAATGACAGTCACTCCAAAGAGTGAACAGGGTGACCAGCAGGATACTCACCCCCCTTGGCAGGACACAGTCAGCTCAAACGCATCACCCTTGCTGGATGTCACGGCCTGCAGGATCTCAGCATTTTCAATACCCTCTGTGAGGTTGCAACTTCAGAAGTTAGCATTCCTCTACCAAGACCATACACAAGAAATCCCAAAGGATGCTCTCCCAGTACTAACTCTGTCATTAGGATAGTCTCAAGAAATTTCTCCCACGTTATGCTACTACTGGTCAGCCCTGGCAGCTTACACCTCCCTTCCTCAGTCCCCAACAGAGGCAAGACTCACGAACAACGTCCAGGGTGAGAGAAAAAGAACCGTATCGATACAGAACACAATCCAAAGGAACTTGTCTCTTCACAAGCATTAAGGTGTCTGTGCCATTCAGGAGAGGGGTGACAGACCCTGGCAGGAGAAGATTTGAGGGTGCAAAATCAAGAGATATAACTCTATTGGAGACAGAGACCAAGCAGACATTGCCCAACTACAGCCAAGACTACAGACTCCTAGAGTGACTAGCTTTAAATCAGCCAAGATCTGGTAGGCCTCGTTTTATATATAAGGAGGTGGCTCCCAGCACTCAGGCAGGCTGAGCTCTGTGAGTTTGAAACCAGCGTGGTCTGCAAGAGCTATTTCCAGGACAGGCTCCAAAGCCACAGAGAAACCCTGTCTCAAGGAAAAAAAGGCTGTTTTTCCGCACATAGTCAAGAAAAGAGAATATACACAATCCAGGGCTGGAGAAATGCCTCAGTAGTTTTATTTGGTTTTTCAAGACAGGGTTTCTTTGTAGCTTTGGAGCGTCCTGGAACTCACTCTGTAGACCAGGCTGGCCTCAGAGATTCGCCTGCCTCTGAGTGCTGGGATTAAAGGTGTGCACCACCACCTCCTGGCCTCAAGTAGTTTATAAAGTACTGGTTACTCTTGTAGAAAAACTGGTTTTGATTCCTAGCACTGTATCTCAACATCCAGGGAAAGGAATCTGATGCCTGCACCAGGCATACAAGGGGTACATATAAATGCAGGCATTAATTTTTTTTAGATTTATTTATTACATATACAGTGTTCTGTCTACACGCCAGAAGAGGGCACCAGATTGAATTGCAGATGGTTGTGAGCCACCATGTGGTTGCTGGGAATTGAACTCAGGTCCTCTAGAAGAGCAGCCAGTGCTCTTAACCTCTGAGCCATCTCTCCAGCCCCCGGCATTAATTTTTTTTTAATGAAGAAACATGACCAAAAAAAAAAAAAAAAGGCTCCCACTATTGACTATGAACCACATTGGGCTAATTGGCCGTGTTAATTCATTCAGCATCAGATCTCCTTTATTTTGCCTTGGGGTAGGAATCCAGGAGTGGGACATGGAGAACCAGGGTGTCAAAACCTGAAGCAATCTCTGCATTTATGCTTGAACAGAACATGTGATCAAGCCTTGCAAATGCCCATAGGCTGTTCCCCTTGGCTTCCTAGCTGCTATCCTTGGCTAACAAAACAATACACAGTTCATTCTTTCCTTGTGGCTGGGGGAAAACTCATTTCCTGAACTTTATGTCTCTTCCATGTGGTTGAAACAATCTGGAGACTTTAGAGCTAGTGAGAATTCCGAGGCTGTCACAACGCTACAGAAAGGACTGGTTAGCGTCTGGATCTTGGGCTAAGACTTCAGAGAACTGACAATAGCCCACCTCCAAGAACCTCATTCACATGTTCTTACCTGTAGAACTTTCTGTAGGCAGAAACGGGCTGGCATCTGGACCCTCAGGTTCAGGAGTGGGTGACCCTTCAGGGGTAGTTTCTACCAACCCTGTGGTCGTTGCATCTGTGGCTCCAGAGGCCCTGGTGGGTGTGCTACCTCTACCGGCTGCAGTTGACATCTCTGCCAGTGTGGTATCCAGGACCGCTGAGGTCAGCAACTGCTCGGAGGTAGGAGCTATGCCCTCTGTGGTTGGCATTCGTACAACTGTGGTTCCAGAGGGCTCTGTAGTTGGCATCTGGCCAGCTGTAGTACCCACAACTTCTGTAGTGGTCCCTTGTCTAGATGTGGTTCCAGATGCCTCCGCAGTTGGTATGTAACCGTCTGTGGTACCTGGGACTGGGGAGGCACCACAGGAACTCAGGGGAATGGCAGCCTGTAGTACCACCTGGGCAGTTACTGAGCCGGACTCCAGGTAAGTGTGAGTGACCTCAACTGCCCGAGAGATCAGGGTCCCAGTGTTGTCCCCAAAGTCCCACGTGTAGGAGAGGTCGGCCTCAACCAGATAGCCGCTGGGATCGTGGAGGTGAAGGTCAAAGATGAGAGGCTGATTTCTCAGGAATCGCTTCTGCCCTCCATCCAAGGCCTGCAGCTGGGACACACTCACGGAGAAGGGGACCTGGTCTGGGGTTGGAGCCAGAAAAATCAAGAACCAGGCCCGAGTCCCACCTCTTCCACAGCCACGTTCTCCACACACAAGCTGACCAGCCAGGTCGTTATTTGTCTGTCATTTCTCTGCCTAGGTCTTTCTGCCTCTCCCTTTTGAAGGTTGGCGTTGACTTCCTCTTTCCATTCCAAGCCAGCCTCCCCACCTCATGCCCTCTGCCTGCCTGGCCTTGTTCCTTTCTAAGCTCTTACCGGTAATGGTGAAGGGTGAACTGGAATGAGCAAGGGGCACGTAGCTCTGGGCCCCCCGTCTGTGGTAGACAGTCACTTCCATGGTGTGTGTGCCCAGCCTCGAGTGGCCTGTTGCAATGCTCAGCCTGGACACCGGGCCCCCCAGAACCTGCCAGTATTGTCCTGAGAGTTTTCAAGACAAAAGCAGAGAAGGGAAGGCATCTGCTTGAAGGGAACTGAGAGGTACAGTTTGAAGAAGCTTCAGAGAAGGGAGGTGGAGAATGTCCTCCAGGTGTTGGGAGGGTGGGTTTCTTGGGTTAGGACTACACTGGGAAGGGACTGCTGGGGGACCTCACCCCAAGTCTTCCAGACATAGACAAAGCTTCTTCTGGGAGGCTGAGGACCAGCCGGGCAGGGTCCACCGTCAGGGAAGATGCAGGCATCGTCAGGTTCCTGTGGATACACTGGCTGTCCTCCCCATACCTGGCTCCCTAGAAGGTAGATACAATCAGCCTCAAACCCCTAAAATGGTTCCTAGTGGGTGGGGCTATAGGAGTACTCTGTAGCTGGAACTACGGTCTCCATACTATAGCCCATATGGGATGGTGTTAGAGAGTGGGGGATGTATGGAAGCCACGGTTTGAGATTCATATGCATATGGAACATAAATAAAAGACTGGCTATCCATAGAATAAAATGTTTACAGTGACTCTCGTGAGATTAAGAGGAACAGCAGCAGCTAACGTTAAATGTCTACTGTAGGTCCAGGCAACTCTGCTGAGGACTTATATAGGTGAGCCTTCATCTTTGTAATAATCTGTCAAGGTACCACACCCACTTCAGGAATACAAGCACGCAGCAACTGACCCATGCAGGGTCACATCCAGTGATGGATTCACATCTGAGCCTATGAAACCAGGAATCTCTGTTCTCCAATTTAGAAACTTAAAACTTTATCTGCATTTCCTAATTTTAGTGCAACAAGTATCTATTACATTTTATACATTTACAGTATATATTGACTGATGAGTATAAACATAATTTTTAAAAGAATCTATAGAGGATAAAGGGCAATGGAATAACACTTGACAAGCATGTGTGAGGCCCTAGGTTTGAACCCAGCACTTTTTAAAACAATATATATAAGAGGAGCCAGGTGGTGATGGCATATGCCTTTAATCCCAGCAGCACTCAGGAGGCAGAGACAGGGCTGATCTCTGTGAGTTGAGGCCATTCTGGTGTACAAATCAAGTTCCCAGACAGCCAGGGCTACACAGAGAAACCCTGCCTGGAAAAAAAAGAAGAAGAGGAGGAGAAAGAGGAAGGGGGCTTTCCCTGGGCTTACTGGAGATACCTGGGAATCGGAGTCCCAGGAATAAGGTTCAGGAGGTACCAAGAGAGGTACTTACCATTGACGACGGTGTTGTTGCTCCAGATAACCTGCCCATCTGGCAATACCTTTTGACTTTCAGGGAAGTGCAGGGTAATAGAAAAGGAGGCATTTGCACCAACCAGTGTAGGTCCATCGTTTCTGACCTTCAGAGACACCCGGCCACCTGGGAAAGAAAGCTGCATTAGCTAGGACTCTGGCTTCTCCTCTCCAATCTCTCTGCCAACCTGCTTCAGAGTAATGCAGTTCTTACCGTCCTCCTGTCTCGCTCCCGCTGTGCCGTCTCCCCGAATACCCAAATCCTACCTTTCCAGCAGTCAGGCACCTGCCCCTCTGTCCACTCAGGGTACAGCTGCCTGTCCCAGGCCTTAGTTCCGAGTTGCCGTGGGACACCAAGCCAATCCTGGTTCCTGGATCCTGAAAGGAATGTGCCATAAGAGCCTGAGGTCCTTAGTCCCATGTCATCTTGCTGGGACATTCAAAGTGCAATGTACTTATTTTGGTGGATGGAGGGCAACACTGAGACTGAGCATAGCGCCTAGCACCTGTAAGTATTGTAACTCTGATCTGTATTCGCAGCCCTGTTCTTGCTTTTCTTTAAATGCTTTATTAAATATCTTTAGCTGGGTGTAGTGGTGCATACATTTAATCCCAGCACTCAGGAGACAGAGGCAGGTGGATTTCTGTGAGTTTGAATTCAACCCAGCCTACAGAATGAGTTCCAGGACAACCAGGGATACACAGAAAGACCCTGTCTCAAAAAAATCACAGAAATAATTTTTTTTTGCTTTTTTTGAGACCGAGTTTCTCTGTGAAACAGTCCTGGCTATCCTGGAACTCACTCTGTAGACCAGGCTGGCCTCAAATTCACAGAGATCCGCCTGCCTCTGCCTCCCGAGTGCTGGTACTAAAGGTGTGCTTCATCATGCCTGGCAAGAAACAAACAAAAAAGCTTGTTTTTTTTTTTTTTTTTTGAGAAAAGTTTTCTCTGTGTAGCTCTGGCTGTCCTGGAACTTGATTTGTAGACTAAGCTGTCCTTGAACTCACAGAGATCCGCCTGCCACCCCAGTGCTGGGATTAAAGGAGCCAGAAACAGTTTTTACCACGGTGGCATTTGTATCTTAGAAAGGCCACTGTGGCATCAGAGCTTGGTGACTCACAAATGCAATGTCAATCATACTCACGAGTCTTCAGCCAAATATTCACCGTGAGGTTGAGGCCAGTATGAACCAAATAATGAGTTCCAGACCGGACTAGCCTGGCCTATACAACGTAGTCTCAAAAGAAAAAAGAGGAGGAGGAGGAGGAAAAGAAGGAATAAGAGGAAAAAGGAGGGAGGAATGAGCAGACCCGGGTACAGGTTGGAGGTGGGGACAATGCAGACATAATTACTATAATTGGGTATAGTGTCTCATGTCTGTAACCTCAACACTCAGAAGACAGAAGTGGGAAGATCCCTGCAAAGCTGGAGGCCAGCCTGGTCTACACAGCAAGTACCAGGCCAACCAGGGTTACACTGGGACACCTAAGCTAAAACATATATCTGACAAGAGAAGAAAGAAATATAATGGGTTTCCACATCCCTTCACTCAAACCCAATATCAATGAAACATCTTGATACATTTGCTTTATCCTTACTAGTTGCTGGTTTTGTCCAAAATATGTATTCAGAAGAAAATCTCAGGCAAGTGAGATATTTTCTGCCTTGCCTGAGAATCTGAGTTTGATCCCCAGACTCACATGGTAGAAAAAATAAAATAAGTATTCATAATGTAAGCACAGTATTTTAAGAGCCTCAGATGTTGGGCATGAACCGAACATTTCCAAAATTCATTAAGGAACTTAGCAAAAGAAAAAAAAAACCGGTAGCACGCTCCTGTCTGTGATTCCAGCACCTTGGAAGCAGAAGCAAAAGCATCAACTACATAGTGGGTTCAAGGATGGTCTGAGATACAAGAGACCCCATCCCAGAAAAGGAATGAAGAAAGAACAAAACAAAACCCCTGGACACTGCAGTCCAAATGAAGAAGCCAGAATAAGGAACTTTCCAGAAGTTTGTGAGACCAGGGATTCAGAGAGAGAAAAGGGGGCTCTGATATGATGTGTGTACTGTTAGTACTGTCTTTATCCTGATTCTAACATCCACAGGGAAGCCAGATTTTGTTGGGGGTTGGTCTGTGGTCATCTCAGAGAGTGTTCGGTCACTGAAGCAAGAAGAATCATAAGATGTACCATTCTTTTTAAGCTGCCCACCCTCCCTCCCCTGTAGCACGGGACATTCCAGACCCTCTCACCACCCTTCACTCCCTCCCCTTGCTCCTGTCACGAGGCCTCAATCCCCCAGAGTCCTTTCATGTGATGCTCAGCTGAGACCCTTCTGCTTGTGTCTACCAGCCCTAGAATGTAAGGCCTGGGCTATATTCATCCATGCCCACCCCAAGTGCAGAAGTTGTTATCAGCTTGGTCTTTCTTTCCACTTTAATTCTCCTATCACAAATACTTCAGATATTACCTAGTGCATTTTACCCATTCATTTTACCTCCTTGGAAGCCCTGTTTCAGCTGTCTGTCTGAGGAGATCTCAGAATCACTGCTGTGCCTTCTGCCCCTTGGGTCAGATAGGAATACTTCTCAATCCTAAATTTCACATATAAATCTGGGCACAACAGTTTATGTCAGGAATCCCAGTGCTTAGGAGGTAGAAGCACGAGGATCAGGAGTTCAAGGCACCCTTGTCTTGAACAAATGAAGGCAAACAAAGCTTTATCTTCACGAAATCAAATAACATAAGCCTGAGCTATTTCTACATGTCTCATTAGAAGGGGGAAACCCAGAGCAGGTGTTCAACTGCTAATGACACTTGCTCTTGACAGCACAGGCACACTCACCTTCTACGGCCCTCACTGCCAGCAAAGTACTCAGCACAAACAGAGGGAGAGGACACCTTCTCGGCACATCCATCCTGCTCTTCTTTCAGCAGCCGAAGATGCCAGGGGTTGGGAATGAGCCCCTATATAGGAAGGGATGCTCATTTGCATAGCCCTTCCTCCTATCGCTGTAGAGAAGGGGAAACCTGGGAAGAGGGACGGTGCCAGAACTGATTTCATCCCCTGGACGTTCCTTTTCTCAGTCCACTGCTCAATGACAGCACCCGGCTTCACTGGGTCACATCCACCCTGACACACACTATCATTCTGGAAAGAGTTGACTGATGGGCAGCCACAACTCACTTACTGTACTTCACAGTCATTTCAGCAAGAGAGGGAAGCCATGAACTGAGTCAAAGCAAGCACCCCTCACGACAGACACAAGCACCTTTATCTAAAAGCAGTCCGAAGGGGCAGTGTGTGTAGATTCCCAGCAATGAAGCAACAAAACCAACCAACGAACCACGAAAACAGTGAGACAGGATTAAGCTAGTCTGAGAAAGGACTTTGTTATCTAGCCTAAGAATCCTTTACAGTAAGAGCCCTGATCTTGTTCCCCTTAGACCGCACTCGGAGGCAATGCCAGACCATCTCTGAGTTCAAAGTCAACCTGATTTTTCTTTTTAATGCATTCCAGCCGGCCAGGCTGCAATATGAGATACTGTCTCAAAAAAGGGGATGGGAAGCCGGGCGTTGGTGGCGCTCGCCTTTAATCCCAGCACTCGGGAGGCAGAGGCAGGCGGATCTCTGTAAGTTCGAGACCAGCCTGGACTACCAAGAGAGTTCCAGGACACCCTCCAAAGCCACAGAGAAACCTGTCTCGAAAAAAACCAAAAAAAAAAAAAAAAGAAAAAGAAAAAAAAAAGAAAAAAAAATGGGGATGGGAGTGCTGCAGAGACAGCTCAGGAGTTAAGAGCCTGTGCAACTCTTGCAGAAGATCAGACTTGGGCTCCAGCGCCCAAGCCCGACGGCTCACAACTGCCTATAACTTCAACTATATCTGCTGCATCTCTGCAAACTTACAAACACACAGACACACGCACACATAATTAAAAATTATATATATGATCATTTATTTAAAGGTTCCCAGGTTTCTGCTTTCCAAAGGAGGCCTTCTTGGCCAGGTAGAATCTAATCTCATTTGAGGGGTGGTGAAAATTGTGAGCGAAAGGTAAGAAAATCCTTAGACCACAGACAACACCAGTTCCGGCCGGCAGAGACCAAATCAGGAACTGGCGGAAAGTTGCGCCGCCGCCCCTCCGCTCGCCCGCCCAGGGCGGGGACTCGGCGGCGGGAGCGCGGGGCCCGGCCCGCCCTCGTGACGTCGACCAATCCGAAGGGTGGGAGGCGGAGCCAGGGAAACGCGGGAAGGAGGGGCGGGGCCTCGGCTGGCCGTCTAGAGCGGTGGGGGAGGCGGCAACATTGTTTCAAGTTGGACAAATTGTCAAGGGCTGAGCTTTGCTTGCGTTCCATCCCGAGCTGGGGCTGCCGTGCTCACCTTGGCCCCCAGGTCCTCCGCCCCTGAGTGTCGGGCCCGCTTTCTTTAGGGTTCCCGGGCCCCGCTCCCGGGGGCCTGAGCCGCCGCATTAGCGCTCCATGGAGAACTTCCAAAAGGTGGAGAAGATCGGAGAGGGCACGTACGGAGTGGTGTACAAAGCCAAAAACAAGTTGACGGGAGAAGTGGTGGCGCTTAAGAAAATCCGGCTCGACACGTGAGTGGCCTGTGGAGCCGGAACTCCTTCCCCGGGACCTCTTGGCTGTCCCCCCCCAACCCCCTACCCCAACAGGCGGGTAGCCGTCCCGGACCGGACCGGACCGGACCGGAAGGTAGCGGGGAGGGACTCCTGAAGTGAGGGGTGGGTTGGCGGACGGTAGACGCTCTCTCTCGGAGACTGTCCGAGGGCTAGAATTCAGAGAAAACTTTCTTCTCGTGCTCCACCCGGTGAGCTCCCAAATCTGCAAGCCGGGAGACTTGGGGAGAGAAGGGGGGGGGGGCGAGATAGGGTCCAGAGGTGTTCATAGAGTTGGGTTATGTAGGAACCAGGAGAATAGTTCCTTTCTGAACGGAGAGCTCTCCCCACTGCTCCAGCCCCATACTTAGAACCCTCACCCTCTTTCAAAAGAATGGCAGTTGAGACTCACTGGCCCTCTGGGGAAGCTGGGAGCTACTCTCACCCCCTCCCCTATTACCTTTCCTCTGCTTCTCATTCACCTGGAGGCTCGACTTACCTTCCACTGGAAAAAGAGGAAATAATGAAGCCACACCCCGATTACCCAGGAATTAACTCCTGACAGTACCTTTCCTTTCTGAACTTCCTAAGGGGGTTTTGGGCGGTGGTGTCTCCCTAAGAGAGTATGTTTGTAACCATATTCTCCTCTGTGTTTTCCCAACCTCTCCAAGTGAGACTGAAGGTGTGCCCAGTACTGCCATCCGAGAGATCTCTCTGCTTAAGGAACTTAATCACCCTAATATTGTCAAGTAAGTGTAGTCTGAGAGATGACCACCAAGGTGAATTGTTTTGTTTAGCCTCATAATTTCTCTCCCTCAACTGCATTTCCTGAACCTTCTTCTCTTGCAGGCTGCTGGATGTCATCCACACAGAAAATAAGCTTTACCTGGTTTTCGAGTTTCTGCACCAGGACCTCAAGAAATTTATGGATGCCTCTGCTGTCACTGGCATCCCTCTTCCCCTCATCAAGGTAACTCCCCTCAATTCCAGCCCTCATGTCTTGGGGAAGCTAGAGGCAGGTGATTGGGACCGGTGATATTTTGGCTTGTTTTTCAGACTTCAGCATTCACCACCCCCTTTTTTGTGTCACTTTTCCTGTTCATTATCGTCATTGGCCATAGGATGGACCGAAGAATCACAGCCAAGCTCCTGCCAGCCACCTAGGCAGCTCAGACAGCTCAGTTACCACTCAGATAATGGGACTGAGGGCAGTTGGTGGGTTCCTCCAAAAAAAAATGTCCCACTTGTGATGTGGGAGATTTGACCAGAGCTGTATTTACTCCTGGAGTTAATAAATATTAGCAGGTACATATTTGACAGTTACTTGACACTGTCAATGTGCTAGTCACAGAGTATTGAAAGGGATGCAAAGCCGGGCATTGGTGGTGCACGCCTTTAGTCCCAGCACTTGGGAGGCAGAGGCAGGCGGATCTCTGTGAGTTCGAGGCCAGCCTGGTCTACAAGAGCTAGTTCCATGACAGCCTCCAAAAGCCTCGGAGAAACCCTGCCTCGAAAATCAAAAAAAAAAAAAAAAAAGAAAAGGATGCAAAAATTGAATAATATCTGGTCTTTATCCTTGACAGGCTGAAAAAATCCAATGAAAGAAGTAGCTATTAAATGTGTGGTTGTGTTGTAGTAATGTATGTTGGCTCATGCTTGTAATCCTAACACTCACGAGGCTGAGGCAGGAGGATGTCTGTAAGTACAAGGACAGCCTAGCCTGTACTATGTAGCCTAGCCTACACAGTTCCAGGCCAGGAAGACACTATCATAAAAAACAAACGGGGCTGACAAGATAGCTCAGCAGGTAAAGGCGCCTGCCTCCAAATCTGATGACCTGATGGCCTGAAGTCCATCCCCAGGTCCCACAGAGTACAAGAAAACCAACTCCTGCAAGTTGTCCTGATTTCCTCGTTTGCACGGTGCCCCGCCCCCAATAAACAATAAATATGCAATCTAGAGAATTAAACAACCCCCCCAAAATATGTAATGGAGTTATCATCTCACATGATTAAGACTTTACTACATTTTGAGGGCAAAGAGCAAGTTGTATCTGTTCACTGTGGTGACTGAACAAACCTCCCTCTCTCCTTTGCCAGAGCTATCTGTTCCAGCTGCTCCAGGGCCTAGCATTCTGCCATTCTCACCGGGTCCTGCACCGAGACCTTAAGCCCCAGAATCTGCTTATCAATGCAGAGGGATCCATCAAGTTGGCAGACTTTGGACTAGCAAGAGCCTTTGGAGTCCCCGTTCGTACTTATACTCATGAGGTGGGTCCCCCTATGATTTTGTCTTCTTTTAAGAATCTTAGGGAGGCGGGGCGGTGGTGGCACATGCCTTTAATCCCAGCACTCGGGAGGCAGAGGCAGGCGGATCTCTGTGAGTTCGAGGCTGGGCTGGACCGACAGCGTCGAAAACAATACAGAGAAATCCTGTCTCGTAAAAAAAAAAAAAAAAAAAGAATCTTAGGGAGATGTTCATAATAACATTCACAAAATACCAGGGCAGGAGTTCCTTTGTAATTGAAATCTCTGACAACCCAAGGGTCTTTACCTGTCTATTTAAAGTGTCTGAATGTTTTTGTTTGCACATATGTCTGTACTGCATGCCTGCCTAATACTCCAGAGGTCAGAAGCAGGTGTCTGATACCTTGGAAATGTAGTTACAGACTGTTGTGAGCTGCCATATGGGTGCTGGGAATTGAACCTGGGTCCTCTGTAAAAGCAACAAGCACTCTTAACTGCTGAGCCTATGTCTAACCCTTAACCAAAGGTCTAAGGATATGCACTGAATTCTTACTATGAGGTTACCTGGTCTTAGATAACAAAGATAACAAGCCAGGAAGTTTGGTTGGCATACCTTTTTTTTTTTTTTTTTTTTTTTTTGGTTTTTCGAGACAGGGTTTCTCTGTGGCTTTGGAGGCTGTCCTGGAACTCACTTTGTAGACCAGGCTGGCCTCGAACTCACAGAGATCCACCTGCCTCTGCCTCCCAAGTGCTGGGATTAAAGGCGTGTGCCACCTACACCCAGCTTGGTTGGCATACCATTTTAATGTCTCAGATTTTCCAGGAACGCTCTCCCATCTGTGGGTTTTGGAATACGTGGCTGGGGATGGAGAGATGGCTCAGCAGTGAGGAGCATATGATGCTCTTGCAGGTGAACTGTGTTCAGTTCCCAGAGCCTGTGTCAGGCAATTCACCATCACCCTTAACTCCGGCCCCAAGGGATCAGACACTTACTTCTGGCCTCTGAGGACACTGCACAGTTGTGGTAACCTACACAGGCAATGCATGTATATACATTATTTAAGTAAGAAAACCAACATAATAAAATCCATTTTAAAGAGAGGCTGGAAGGTAGCAGTGTTTTGTTGAATGAGGTATGTGATCTTGTCCTCTTGCTTCCCAGGTGGTGACCTTGTGGTACCGAGCACCTGAAATCCTTCTAGGCTGCAAGTACTACTCCACAGCCGTGGATATCTGGAGCCTGGGCTGCATCTTCGCTGAAATGGTATGGAGGCTTGCCAGGTTCTATCCAGCCCTCTCTTGCCCAAATCCAAGAGCAAAACCTATTCCTTGGCCTGCAACCATGGTCCTTTATCACAGAGTTCTCTCAAGTATCACCCTCTATAGAGGTAGTTGCCCTGATAACCAACTACAATTTTAGAGTATCCCTAAATAGATTTAGTTACCTAGTATATTATCTCTTATTCCCAAATGAGGTAAATCCATTCGGTACCCACCAGCTGCTCCGCGCGTTTTGTTTTGAGACAGTCTCGCTGTGTAGCCCATTATAGTCTTGATCTTCTGCGTTGGCTCCTCTTCCCACCGTTGCCATCTAGCCCATGGGACCGAGTTGACAGGCATGACCCACCACACTGGCTGCACTCACTCAGCTGTCTCAGCACTAATCCTCAAATATTTGCAAGAACGAATTCCATTCAGCACAACAGGTGGCCCACAGGCCACATGCTTCCAAGGACAGCTACAAATGTGCCTCAACGTATAATCATAAACTTATTTAAAACAGAATGGGTTTTTGTTTTGTTGGTGGTGGTGGGACGTTTTTTGTTTTGCTTCTTTGTTTGGTTGCTTTTTTATTTTTATTTATTTTTTACATCCCAACCAAAGTTTCCCCTCCTCCCACTTCCTCCTCTTGTTTATTTTTTAAAACTATTTTTTTCTTTTTTTTTGTTTTGCTTTTTTTTAATTTATTTTTTATTTTTATGTGCATCAGTGTTTTGCCATGGGTGTCAGGCCCCCTGGAATTAGAGTTAGACAGTTGTGATCTGCCATATGGGTGCTGGGAATTGAATCTGGGTCCTTTGGAAGAGCGGTCAGTGTCTTAACCACTGAGCCATCTCTTCGGAGCCCCCTCCCCCATTATTTTTTTTCAGGATTTGGTTTTATGGTATTTAAGCTTGAACTTTGTGGATGACAACATCATGTCAGAGTGTCAAAAGTTTGAACTCTCTGATTTTTGATGTCTTCATTTAACCTATAGACCCGTTCTTGGAGACAAGAAATTTAGTAAAGCTAAATGCATTCAATTGATCCACATCTATCATTTTTGTAGACTTGGTCATGCCCTGCCCCCTCAACCTCTGGCTTTTCAGATTGAAGGATCCTTGAAGCATAGCTTCAATATGGGAGCTCCCATCCCATTTAATTTAACAGTGGACCGACAGCTCAGTAATTTTTTTTTTTGGTCTTTTATCTGGGTTGAAACTGGGGGCTTGGAGACCATTATCCTAAGTATAGATATACATATAGAATGTGAATTTATCCACCAGTACCTTACAATTGCCCATATTCCTCTCTCAATTCATCAAACAATATTTGTTAAGCACCTAGTGTGTACCCAGCACCATGCTAAGTGCTGTGGGGAACACAGAAGAAATGGAAGACACAGTCTCTGCCCGCTGTGCTCCTATCTAGAAGTGGCTGCGTCACAAGGAGGGGGGATGACCGCAGTGTCTACCCCATACCCCGTGAGTGGCTTGGGATCCCTTTGCTACGCGTCAGTGGCGCCCCAGACATTCACCCCCTCCCAGCCCCACCCAGCCTTGGGGATTGACAAAGCCATGGTTGGGGGAAGGAAGGAGGAGGGGGCGAGGAGCCCGATGAAGGGACTTCATTGTCTCAAGTTCTGTATGACCGACCCCATGAAAGGCCCCGGGGAGGGGAGTCATGGGGCCCTGCCGACCTTCCACCGCCTATGGGACCCTCCTCCGTACGAGGGGCAGTGTTGACTGACGTCAATATGGGTCTTGGCCTTTCCCTCTTGTCCCCATTTTCAGGTGACCCGGCGGGCCCTGTTTCCTGGAGATTCTGAGATTGATCAACTCTTCCGGATCTTTCGGACTCTGGGGACCCCAGATGAGGTGGTTTGGCCAGGAGTTACTTCTATGCCTGATTATAAGCCGAGTTTCCCCAAGTGGGCTCGGCAAGATTTTAGCAAAGTTGTGCCTCCACTGGATGAAGATGGACGGAGCCTGTTATCGGTAAGAGTGGGTGCCCGGATAACCGTCTCTCCCGTTCCCCGGAGAAGAGAAGCCGAGCCCCTGAACTCCGTCAGAATTACCCCGGTCTTCCATCCCTCTCCTCAGTAGAGCTGGGAGTGGGTGCCCGGATAACCGCCTCTCCCGTTCCCCGGAGAAGAGAAGCCGAGCCCCTGAACTCCGTCAGAATTACCCTAGTCCTCCATCCCTCTCCTCAGTAGACTGGTTCAGAAATGGGAGGAGGGAGAAGTGAGGCCTGGGTGAAGAGAGTACCGGTCCCCAGGTTTCTGAGTGCACAGCTCCCTGTCGGGCCCACTGTTGCATCACTGAAGTCAGAATATATTTCTTCCTCCAGCAAATGCTGCACTATGACCCCAACAAGCGGATTTCAGCCAAAGCAGCCCTGGCCCACCCTTTCTTCCAGGATGTGACTAAGCCAGTACCCCACCTTCGGCTGTGATGTCCTTCCCAAAGCCCTCCTCACCCTTGGTCTGACTTGACTCTGGGCCTTTTTGGACACAGGTCAGCCTTCTACTCTTTTCTGGCTGTCTTAGCACTCACTGTTTCTCTTGGTCAGCCAGTTCCAGGGACTCAGAGGTGCAGGGAAAGATGAGGTGACAGGAAAAGTGTTGGTATCAGGTGCTTCCCTACCTTCTCTCCCTCTTAGTCATTCCCGAGGATTGGTATTCAAAACAAAACAAACCTTCCACTCTCTACCCACCCCCATGCCAAGTTTTGCCATCCCAGTCTTAGATTGTCTCATAATTATTGTGTCCCGTGTTTAGGAAGACACACCCCAGACCTCCTGGTGCCACTGTTTTGTAAAGGCCAAGTTGGGACATTTCGGAACCAAGCAAGAGAGGTCTGTTTTAATGAATTAGATGAGAAAAGATAGATCCAAACAGTTTACACCTTAGTTGTAGTGTCTGGCCTCACCTGACAATCAAGGAGGCCCTGCTGGAGAAGCAGAAATGTTTCCCTTCAGCTCTCTGTCTACCTTCTGCAGGGCAAGAGGAGTCAGGAGGGGACGGGGCTTGGTCTGTTCACCATGGCTCGCAAGGCAAGGTGAAAGACACTGGAATCTTTCTTTCAGTAATGTTACTGTTTTCTGGTGCTAACAACTGAACCCAGGACCTCGCCCTCACTAAGCAAATGCGCCACCCATGAGCCAGATTTTCTAGCCCTCTTTTTGGAGTCTTAGCTCTTCAGTTTTTCAGAGGTCCCTGTTGCCATATTCCTCTGAGAGTCACCCCTGACTCCATAGTGGAAGTGAAGCTTTAGATGTCACTTTGAAAGGCTTTGACCTGGTCAGGTCATCAGGGGACATTTTCTATAAAAGAGTTAACAATTATATTTATATTTCAAGTTATAGTAGTTGGATATTTTGGTGTTTTGATTTTTCTTTTTTGGGGGGCAGGGCAGTGTGGATGGATTTGTTACCATGTGCACTTTGGAATTTTGTAATGCAATTGTTGAAAGAAAATATTTCTTTTATGATCTCCCTGTACCCTTTGTGCTCCAGTGTTCTGTTAATATTATTTGTAATTTAGTTTGTAATTCATTAAAAGAAAATATTCTCAGTTGTATATCGAATCTCTTTCATATTTTATCATTTATTTACTGAAAGAACGGAGTGGGTGACAGCCTGGATGTGCGTAACTGGTAGGTGATTTCAGAGCCCTCCTGATGTCTGTATATGCAGGACATCCTCTCTCCCGTGCCTTTGCAGTGGGAGCAGACTGGGTAATGCCTTTTCCTGCTCCCACGGGCACACGAATCGAGTGCTGTTTCAGTTTCCTGTTGCTATCAGCAACTTGACTGAGTGGGCTTCCACAACCCATTTCCCAGTAAGCTTTTACCATTTGTATAGGGTTTCTTTGTTTGTTTGAAATCATGTATACATGCCTGGGTCTGTGAATGTGCGTGTCAAGTGTCCCCAGAGGACAGGAGAGGGTACTCACTGGCTCTCACTGCTGGGCCGTCAGCAAAGTAGTTTAAATATTTCATTCACATTTACACACAATTTGGAAAATACCAACTACATGAACATTTAGAAGGTCTAAAGTGTCTTCAGACTACCATTTTTTGTTGTTGTCATGGTTTTACACCATCAAAAAAATAGGCAAACCACCCAAAACCTCCTGTTCTCTAATGCTCCCCTAAAAATAACTTCTGAGAGAAAGTTCCCAAGTAGGATGTCTTTAACTTGACACAGAAGGCGGGGCACTAGGGTAAGCCCCGCCCAAATCCGGGCCGAGAGAAGACAAGGTTCAGTCTCTCTCTCTCCTCCCTCTCCCTCCCTCCCTCTCCTTCTCCCTCTCTCTCTCTCCCTCCCTCCTTCCCCTCTGTCCCCTTCCTCCCTCCCCTCTGTCCTCTCTCTCTCATTTTTAATAGTATCTCACGATGTGATGTCGCTATGTAGACCAGGCTTATCTGGAACCCATGGAGGTTGCTAGGGTTAAAGGCGTGAGTCTCCAAACCCAGGGATGTGTTTTTCCCCCTCCTCTTAAACTGAGATCTTGTCTCAAGGAGCCCAGGCTAGCCTGAAACTCACTAGGTGAAGGGAGGATGCCCTAGAACTCCTAACGCTGCCACCACCTCCCAGTGCTGGATTAAGCAGGGATGCGACACCACACCCGGCCGAAAGCCTTTCTAGGGCTGCTTTCGCGCTCGCCTTGCCTGCCACTCAAGTTCGGAGGTGTCCTAGCATTGGTTAAGATTCCTCTATGTCCCGCCTCCTTCACTCACCTGATTAGATGTTTACGAGTCAAAAGGCGGGGGAGGGGTGTCACGGGTGTCGAGGTTTTATTGGCTGACGCGGACGCCCGTCAGTGCTACACCGCCCCCTTTCCCAGGCTCTCTCTCTCTAATGGTTGCTCATCCCGTCAATCCTCAGGACTTCTCGTTTAAGTATTGGCTCGGGACCCCGCCAGTCAAGTCTTTGCCTGTACTGGTTGGTGAAAGCACGCCTTTCTCCGGAAGATTGGCGGGTGAACGCACATACAGCCCGCCTTCCACAGTAGGCGGGCGGGCCTGCGATTGGCTGGAGCCCTCGCCCCGGCGAGGAAGAGGAGGAGGAGAAGGGGGCAGGAGGTTTGGTTGAGCAGCAGCTGTTTGTCTGTTCCACACAGGCTTGGGCCCGACGGGGGAGACGGAGCCCCAGGTACCGAGCTGATGGAGCCCACAAGGGCAGAGGCGGCGGTCCGGAGAGGAGCGCAGCCTGGCCTGCGGCCGAGGCGGCTCGGGCCTAAGCCGGGGCTAGCTAGCCCCCCGGAGAGGGCAGAAGGGGCCGCCCCGGCAGGCCTAGTGGGGGCGCTGAGGAGGTGATCGGCAGGGCTGGGAGCCGAGCCTCCAGTTGGGGAGGTGGCTGGGTTCTGGCTGCGGCCGCTCAGGGGCCGGGCGCGGGGACCCGGGAGCCGGTGAGGACCAGGGCCGGCCTTGGTCCTCCGAGCACCGCGGTGAGGAGGGAGGAGCTGGGGTCGGGGACCAGGCAGCGAGGGAGGGGAAGCCCGTTTGGCGAGGAGGTGTGGAGGGTCAGCGCTACGCCCAGCCCCGAGGCTGGGTCTCTGGAGACCGACGTCCGGTGTCGGGGTGCCGAGCCCGCGGAGCCAGAGGCATTCTTTTCAGCGAAGGTGGCTGTTGGAAAGGGGCCTGGGGGTGCTCCGGTGTTGTCGAGAGGGATTTGGTCTCTGTGAAGCAAGTCTCAGTAAATGAAGAATGCATTGCTGAGTTAGAACATCCGAGTAGACGGAAGTAGAAGCAGGGCCTGCTAGCAGTTATGGGAACTTCAGGAATGATGGTGAGGAGAGGTTCTGTGTCTTCAGTTCCTTGCTCTTTTGTTCCCTTAGCGTTTAGATGTGGTGGTTGGAAGTTTTGGGGGCACTTGAGTAGGAACGAAGACAGAGGTAAAATCATGTTTTCCGTGACTCCTGGTAGCTCCAGGGTCAGTGCCCCAACAACTCTAATTTGCCCTGGCCTCAAAGCTAGTCTTGACTGCAGTCTGCTTTCTTTTTTGTTAGTGGCTTTTTGTTTTGTTTTGTTTTTTTGTTTTTTGCTTTTTCCCCTGTTGCCTGAACTGTGAAAGAACTAAGAATTTGGGATTTGCTTTGCCTGTCTTACTCACTTCATAATGTGGTCAGTCTGTGGTGACTGCTTCTAACTTTTACCTAGAATTGAGGACTCTGTCATCTGCACAGGAAGGGGTCTAGGGTTCCCGAGCTACTGAAAAATGGACCTTGTTTGTCGAAACTTCTTTCCTAGACAGTTAATGGAGGTCTCCAGGCCTGGGACTGTGAAGTGATATTCCTGAGGGGACCTGGGGAGGAGCTGAGTTCCCTCCCAGGAAGTTGGCGCTGTCCCTTTGTCATTTCTCTAGGAGGCACTTTTGTGTGACTAGCTAGTTAGGTTAGACCCCAAGGAATTTAGGAAAAGAAGGGTTATAGGGAATGAAGATGCCTTTAAAACTTATTACATTTGTGTGCGTGCACCTATATACCTGTGTGAGCATCTCTATACCTGTGTGAGCGTCTCTATACCTGTGTGAGCACCTCTATACCTGTGTCAGCACCTGTATACCTGTGTGAGCACCTCTATACCTGTGTGAGCACCTGTATACCTGTGTGAGCATCTCTATACCTGTGTGAGCATCTCTATACCTGTGTGAGCATCTCTATACCTGTGTGAGCACCTGTATACCTGTGTGAGCACCTCTATACCTTGTGAGCACCTGTATACCTGTGTGAGCACCTGTATACCTGTGTGAGCACCTGTATACCTGTGTGAGCACCTGTATACCTGTGTGAGCACCTCTATACCTGTGTGAGCACCTGTATACCTGTGTGAGCACCTCTATACCTGTGTGAGCACCTGTATACCTGTGTGAGCACCTGTATACCTGTGTGAGCACCTCTATACCTGTGTGAGCATCTCTATACCTGTGTGAGCACCTCTATACCTGTGTGAGCACCTCTATACCTGTGTGAGCACCTCTATACCTGTGTGAGCCTCAGTGCGTGTGTGGAGGTCAGAGGACAGCTTGTGGGTATTCAGTTCTCAGGTCTGGCAGCCTAGAAGATGGATTATTAATAACAAATGGGAGTCCCCTCCTCCATATATATGTGTGAGGAGTTACTGACCTGTCATTTCCCCATACATCATTGGACCCGATTAGTTTCTCCCTTAGGGTCCTACCTTTCCTTTTCTTTCTATAGTAATGCTGTTTATCACTGCATTTCATGTGTGTGTGTATACATATATATACATTTAATTATATATATATACATTTAATTTTATGTGTGTGTGCCAGAGTGTATGGGTGCAGGAGCCCTCAGAGGTCAGAAAAGGTATCGGGTCCCCTGGCACTGGAGTCACAATTGTGAGCTGCCATGTGAGTGCTGGGAACCCAGAACGCAGGGCTTCTGCGAGTGCCCTTCCCGCTGAGCCATCTCTAGCTTGTATCACTACATTTCTTAATTACCAAAGCAGTGTTTAAGCTATGCAGAGATACATAAAAGCTGAGTCTTCGCACACATAGATTATTTCATATAGGACAGTTAGAGATATTAAATAAGACTAATCTTTCTGTTGAGGGATGTGCCACCAAAGACAGGTTTTGTTTGTTTGTTTGTTTTTTATGTTCTCACTGAATTCTGTTTTCTCATTCTTTGCACAGAGGAGAATACTCTTGGTTGATACTCTGTTATTGTGTTTCTTTTGCAGTTCATCTGTCTCCTATCAAATTCAGAACAAGCATAGAGTTGTCCTCTGAGTTATCATTTGCCTTCTTCAATACACACTCACACAGTTGTGTACTGGGTAGCCTAAAAACTGCCCAAATACATGAACAAAACTTTTTTATGTGCAGGAAAGAAGGGAAATCATCTTCTTTGAGACAGTTATTGGCATCTCCACTAGAGTGAAGAATCTGAAACTCAAATTTTCCCAGTATTTGACTGTTTCTTCCTTATCTCCGAGAGAGAGTGATGGTTCTGAAAGGGTCTTGTACCTGGTTTGGTATATAGTGACCCAAAAAGTTCCCGTATTTCTCTAAATTTTAAATTGGGTTTCCTCCAAATTTAGAAATATCAGAGACTTTTCATGCTTCCAACTTATTAGTTCAAGTTGGCTTTTTTGACTTTTTGAAGCCTCTCATATGCTAATTGTTTTTGTTTGTTTGTTTTTGTTTTTTCAAGACAGGGTTTTCTCCATATTGTTTTGGAGCCTGTCCTGGAACTCGCTCTGTAAACCTGGCTGGTCTTGAACTCACAGACATTCACCTGTCTCTGCCTCCCGAGTGCTGGGATTAAAGGCGTGTGCCACCAATGCCAGCCCTAATATGCTAATTGTATAGCATCCAGCAAAAACCTCAGATCAGCACCTCCCTACGACTTTCTGCACCTATACAGTCAACCTGGAGGAAACTATTGGGTTGTGTGTATGTGTATTCATCCTCTCTAGTCTTGCTGACTTTAAACCCTGATCATCTCTTGACCTATTCTGTGTCTCTGTTTGTCTGTTTCTTCCTACCTTCCCCTTAAAAAATTTCAAGAAAGGACTTAGAAGCTGGGTGTGGTACTTGCCTTTGATTCCAGCATTCAGGAGGCTAAAGCAGGGTCCTGAGTTCAAGGCCAGCCTAAGCTACATAGCAAGCGCTGTCACTAATGCCCGAAAGTTTTTGTTTTTTTTTTTTTGTTTGTTTTTTGTTTTTAATCTGGGTTCTAGGATTATGGCTTAGTGGTAGAGTGTATAATGAGCATTTACCAGATCCTGGGTACAGAGAGAATGAGTCAGGAGTCACTCAAATTTAAGATGTAAGTAATTCAGTGACTTAAAATAATTATTTTCCAAAGGTTTCTACATATCTAGGAAGCTGAAAAGTGGACTTAGCAATGTAGAGTCTCAAACATAGACCTGGAGTTAGAACAGTGTTTGGAGAAGAGGGCTCTTTCTTGTTGCCCTTAAAGTCATGTCCTGTCTCTTTTCTTAACTGGCTTTAGCGCAGGAATTACTCCTTTGTGGTTGGCTTGTCTCTGTGTTAATACATTTGCCGTCTGAGGAGTCATAGATGGGGTAGGAGACGCGGCAGACTCCTGCTTCCTAACCCTGAAGTATGCGGTGGGAGGGGTCAGTGGTACAGCTTGCCTGGCATGTGTGAGCCTAATGCGACTGAAGTGTGTAACAGCAAACTTAAGGGCGTGCGGTGACTGTCTGGGTGGGAGGAAGGGTGTCCTAAAGCCACACACAACGCACCCCGACTTCCCAAGAGTGTTCCAGGGAAGACTTAGTCACTCACTGTACAGTGACTGAATTGCCACCCAGATGATAAAAGTATATTTCTGGGCTAGAGTGTAGCTTTGGTTTAGGGGTTGTGGGTGCCTCTCTCTGTATGGTGGTATGACTTTGGTTTTTACACTTGTTTCTCGGTGCCAGGGATAAACACAGGTATAATGACTCAAAGGTTTTTTTAAAAACCTCAGAGAGCTTTGTTTTGGGGCACTAGGAGTTGCCTCGGTGTTAGACTTGTAACAAGTGACGGGAAAAGCAGTTAGCCCATGAGAATTACAACAGTACTTTGTGGGCGGGGTCACAAACTTCCTGAACTGGGCTAAAATCTATACAGATGGGAAGGATTACTTTGGCCTTAATTTCAAGAGCACTTGATGAACAACTCTGAGGTTTTAGGATTACATAAATTTTTTTCAGTCCCACTTTTTGAGAAGTTAATGGTTTAGCAGAGCAAATGGATATAACTCAATGTGCTAAAAATACACTGGACTGGGGAGATAGCTTAGCAGGTAAAGATATTTGTCACTAAGCTTAGTGAGGAGTGTTAGAGTCCCAGAACCCACATTGTGGAAGGAGAAAAGTCAACTCCCAGAAGTTGTCCTCTGACCTCCACAAGTATGCTGTGGTATTCAGGCACATGTGTGCACACACACAACAAATGTTTAAGAGATTTTTTTAAGAAATGTAATTTTGGCCAATCGGTGGTGGCACACACCTTTAGTCCCAGCACCGGGGAGGCGGAGCCAGTCGGATTTCTGTGAGTTCAAGGCCAGCCTGGTCTACATATCAAGTTCCAGGATAGCTGGATCTTTTTAAAATGTGTGAATATATGATATACATATTTATAAGGTGTATATGCTGTATATTACCACATATATACTGTAATATATAAGATTGTATATGCAGTGAATAATTAGTACAGTAAAATACAGCATATTAACCAAGCTGTCTACCACTGAGCTACATTTCCAGCACTTTTTATTTAAAAACTTTTTAACTTTTTTGTTGTTGTTTTTGTAGACAGGGTTTCTCTGTTGCT